TGTTCAATATCCTTATCTCCTACTAAATTTGTTTTAATTGGTCATTTCCAAAACAAAGAAATACATAAATAAAAAATGAATTATACTGTCAGTGTTGTGTCTAAGTAAAAATTGATTATAATGTCAAAAATAATTATAATAATTTTAATTATCATTAATTCCCTCATTCTAAACCAATGAGAACTGACCCCCCACTAGAGAAACACAAATATGTGACATTCTCATTATCAGACAAGAAGTTCACACTGACAGATTGTTAACATGTGTGTCAATAAAAATTTCATCTCCTTTTTCAGGCCATAATAGTAACATTTATCTTTTAGCGCTCAACAAAGATTTGAGATAAGAAAGCCCCAGACACTTCTTGTATTTTTCAAACTATGTCATGTGGACACTCTATTAAAAAAAAAAATGAGAAAGACTGTATATACTATACTATACTATACTATACTATACTATACTATACTATACTATACTATACTTATGCTTTATCTTATTCTGTCAGATTCCAATCCATATTTGATCTACATTTGACTCCATACTCACAATTTTAGGACAGTATTACTGTTTCCTGTGCGTCCATCACCACATAACAACCAGATGCGACTTTTATTTTCGATCTTGCCATTTCTCATTTTTATGAGTATTTTTGTAGATAAAAAGATACAAAGACATACTTATTGTAACAGCATTAAAATCTGCATTCTGTTGTGATGGTGTTTTTTAAAACCATGTGCAAATGCACTCTGTAATTATTTTTAAATTTATCCATTGAAGCTTTGGAATTTTTTGCAAAGCAAGCATTTTAATATAAGTGAACTGACTATAAATTTGAGAGAATGGCAAAATGGCATTAAATGTTTGTTATATGCACTTCAATACATTGCTACTACACACACAATAAATTTTGTTCAGTGTTGGTTGGTTGATTTTGATATAGACGACTTCGAGAATTTGAAGTTTTTGTTTATTATTTTTATTGGTGTTGTCAAAAGTATTTTCCTGAATTGTGAAGGTGGACAGAACTGTTTTTAGATGTTGTGCAACAGAACTTACATCCAACAAATGAGTTGTAAGATGTGTGTGTGTGTGTGTATTGTTGTATCCTTAAAGAGGTTACAGACAGACAAATGTGGTACTTGAGTGAAAGGAACAGTAACTCATGCGTAGATTGAAAGATTGTTTTTAAAAGAGAATACACTACTGAAAGATCGGGAATTGGTTAGCAGGCTAGTAATTACCGAAGCAAGGATATTTGCCAACTGCACCATGCGGTCAGATGTGGCACAAAGCCAAATTTAACGTGGGATATCTGAGCCCATAAAAAATTCAGGCAAAAATTCCCTATAGACTCCATAAAAAATGGGGTTGGGTAGCTACCACCCCAGATGAGACTCTGCCCTTCAGCATAGCCTCCTCTTGGTTCCTCTCTGCCCAAAGGCAGATAATTCAACTAGCTCATCCGGAAATGAATCTCCAACTAATTGCCAAAGCAAGTCCCCAGGTATATCCTGTGTTCACCATATATAGCTACTGATATAGTCAGTTCACATAGGCAATAGGGAGTGTGGGACATTCCATTACACACACACACACACACACGCATATATATATATATATATATATATATATATATATATATATAAAATATATATAATATATATATATATATGTGCATGAAAGAGAGTGTTATAATCGTTGTCAGTTCATGAGATGAACATGACCATTGTTGACAAGTTAAATCTATGCTTATAGGTTTGAATAGAATTGCAAGGTCTTCTTCTAGACTGGTTGCCAACCATGGCTACAAATTCTAAATTCTACTCTGCCCTGCTATTTAATATATGAAAAAAGAGATAGATTCATAGCTTTTCCAAATGTATTTATGAGTAAGTGAATATAACAAACTCAACTAGAATTCTAACTCGGATTTCTCATTCCGAGCCACTAACCATTACATCATCCACACATCCAGGCACTAATTTCGCATAATATATACAGGACAATTCTTTTTAGCCATGTTTCTGGAAAAAAACATCTTATAGGCTGTCAAATATTGTGTGTGTGTGTGTGTGTGTGTATATATATATATATATATATATATATATATATATAAATAATGATGACTGTCAGTTTGTTAGATGAATATGATCATTGCTGACAATTTTAATCTATGGTTATGGTTTTAAATTTAGTGTCCCCACCTTCTAGACTAGCTGCCAAAGGAATGGTTGATTTTCCGCTCTACTTATTGTCAAAAGATGAAAATAAAAATAGAAGATCTGCTACCTCAGTTCTGATAAGATGCCAAACACGGCCCAAGTAGCAGGTTGAATGCAACAGCAATTAGCAGTCAAAAAGAGATTTATTTTGACATTGAGTGCAGGTGGAATGCTTTCAATGCCACAGCCCAAATTTGTGTCATGGTTTGCAACCAAGATCCATAAAACGATGTGAATGAAATCAAACCAGAATCAGTCACTTTAACTTGGGACGTTAATCATTATAATCATATTATGTTGAGACATTTAAGGGAATCATTCTGCAGAGTTTAGGAATTGGTCTAATCATATTGTACAGAATTGACTGAAGAATCGGGCTGATCACTTTGTGGTTGAGAGAATAGCTTAGTTCAATGCCTTCATCTTTGTCTTAGAATGTCTCTAGAGATGCTACTATCTTTAGCTGGTTGAATGCATTACTGAGTAGTGCACCCCATCACCATGACACAGAATCAATTATAGGAAGGAATTTTTGAAGTAGCATTGGGTAGGGTAAGTCAAAATATATATGTTAAAATTTATTAACTAGAAAACTTATAAGTAGGTAAATTATTCAGTGGGAATTTGAAGTTAGTACACAGATTCTGTTTCCTGTGTTAACAATTATGCCACACAATTTCTTCTTCATATATATATATATATATATATATATATATATATATATATATATATGTGTGTGTGTAGAATTGCTGTATACAGATTAAAGCAAATATAATTTATTTAAAAACTATAACATAAACAAGTTATAAACTCACTACAAAAATAGCCATTTTGTTTCAATACTTCTGGTGTCTTATCAAGTGATGGTGTTGAATGTTGATAAAACACTAGAAATGTTGAAACAAAATTGCTATTTTTGTAGTGATTTTCTAACAGTGGGAATTTGAACTTAGTACACAGATTCTGTTTCCTGCATTAACAATTATGCCACACAATTTCTTCTGCATATATATATATATATATATATATATATATATATATATATATATATATGAAGAAATATAGTCTTAAGGTGTGCTATATTTATGGGATAAAGTGCTCGATATCAGAGATAGAGCGTGTGTAAATATAATATATTTATGTGTCACTGGAGGATGATGGGAAGCCAGGAAACTGGCTCTTCCCATCCGTTTTGTTTAGTGATAACCTTTTAGGTCATTTGTAGTTTCAACCTTTTATTGAGCTTTTTTTGTTTTATTTTTTAGATTTATTATTTTAATTCTTTTATTTTTTTTTTATTAATCCATTTCTTTTCTTTTCTTTTTTTGTTTTGAAAATTTGTTATTTGAAATGTTTATTATATTTAAATTATGGGGTGTTATTTCAGACTCTGAGTTGGGATGGAATTGTTGGTGATGTAGTAGAAATTTTTTTTTTGCAGGGGTTGTCTGCATATCGGCATAAGCTCTGATCCTTTAGGAGATTGTCCTTCTGGAAAGGTGTTTATTGCTATTTTCTCCTCATGATAAAAGTTAGGCACACTGAGTTGTGAAACATGGTCATAAAACTGCTTGATGCATGAGACTGACAGAAATCAGCATTGCACAATGACTGTCTATGTAGCCTAAATCTATAAATATCTGTTGTTTAAAATTTGCTATTTATTGGGGAAGAAAATTATGTATTAAAGATAGTGAATTTGTAGTTAATACACACAGGCAGTACTCATAATTGTTGTATTGCATTTCTACTTATTGATGTGCATAATTTTGATATAATTTTTAAATCAAGCTTTATTTAAGAGTGCACAGAGAGGCAACTTTATGGCAGTGGGAAAGTGTCTTAAGCCAAGATGCCAGATCAAGCAATAATACTAATTCTTCATTGTATTTTGTCAAGGATCTCTAGATATACAGCAAGAACATGGGACCATATATAGCAGCAATATTCAAAGCATGCACAATTGGTAGACTTTTAGAGATATTTAAGATAGATTCTGGGTAGAAAGTGTTGTCTAGACTGACACAGTGAACCAACTTTCTTAGCAGCTGATTTAGGAATGGTTTCAATATCTTTCCACTTCATGTCAACTGAAGAAAGCACAATGAATCACTCTTGTGGAGGTTAGCATCAGTCATGCAAATGGAAGGTAGAAAAGCTTCCCTATGGTTATTAAATGAAAGTTTTTTGGGTTTTGAGATGTTAAAATTTACAAGCAATTCCAGTTAACAACTTATTGAAAGAAATTGCCTGTTTTACTTTGTCGTACCTATTGGACTTCTTACTAAGAGATGAATAAATAGCTGTGTCATCAGCATAGATACCTAGTTGGGAAGTGATGACATCAAAAAAGTTTTTGAAGTAACAACATACCTCTAAGTATAGATCTCCTATTTACTTTTTTCATTCAGTTGGGTTATGCAGATGCTGTGATGGTATTATTTTGTTTGTAAATAGTGTAAACTGTTAAAAATAAGCTAAGAAAATTAGGCTTTATCAAATGTACAGAATTCTTTCTAATGAAGGAGGAATCAATATTTGAGAGAAGTAAAGTGAAAAAAGATTGGGAAAATGAAAGTTTCTAAAAAAAAAAAAAAAATTGAACATATAGACCAAGATGGTGGGGAAAAAAATTAAACAGTAAAAGAAGTTATACAAGGAAAATTAAAAGAAAAAATATGGAAGAAAAAGTGAAAAAGAAAAATTGGAGGAACTAAAACCAAGAAGTAAAAAGGTTTATTAACAGAGAAAATGAAGAAAAAAGTGGAAAAGCAATTTTTAAAAGAATTTAAAAGTAGGAAGATTGGAGAAAAAAAATGGAAAAAGGAAGGTGAAGGAATATTTGGAGTAAAAGGAAGGTGAAGGAATATTTGGAGTAAAAGAATCGGAGAAAGAAGGAATATTTGGAGTAAAAGAATCGGAGAAAGAAGGAATATTTTGAGTAAAAGAATCGGAGAAAGAAGGAAGATTTTGAGTAAAAGAATCGGAGAAAGAAGGAAGACTAGAGAAAGAAGAATATAAAAAAAAACAAAAGGTGGGGAACGAAGGAAGATTGGAGAAAGAGGAATAGTAGAACGGAGGTAAAGGAAGATTGGAGAAAGGGGCAACAAAAAAAAGAGAATAAAGTAAGAAAGATTTGAGAAAGAGAAAGAATGAAAGTGAGGTGAGATCAAAATAAAGGAAAGAATGACAAAAACAATTCCAACTTTTATTGAAGACATTAAAGAATGAATGCAAACATTTCTGAAGGACAGAAAATCATGAAGATGAAAAACAAAAAAACAAAACATTGTCATCCATCTCCTATGGTGTATGCAATCTAAAAAACAAAAAAAAATATAGCTCTGCATTATTCACAAAGGCTAATTTTTTTTTTTCAGTACTTGAAACAATCATTCATCAGATGGGATAACAACCACATTTTCTGAACTTGAAGGTGCAAGACCAAAATTTTGAGAATTCAAAAGATTTTAATAACAGTGAATAATTTTATCTCAGCAGTTGATTTTTTCTTTATCTGTTATTTCTAAAGAATTGAAATTAAGATTTTTGTTAACTAATACTCTTTCCAAGTTGGTTTGAATTATGTTCCTTTTGATGATTGGATGTTTGGAATGAATGGGCAATCAAGATAGTGATGCTAGTTCCCACATGTCAACTGTGGTGCAGGGCCATTGACCAATACTGGTTAACCTGTGGTTAAAACAAGACAAGATTTTCACATTAACATGTGAGGGATTATCTTTTGACTTGTTTACTGAAAATGTGAAAACCAGAAGGTTGTATATTTGCAGATTTGGATTTGTGACTTTGGTATCTATGAATGATGATGCCAATAATTTAATGTCTCTAATTAAACTGAAGAATCTCATTTTTTTAAATGAATTCTTCTACAAAATTAGGATGTGTATAAGCAGGTATCTACAACAAAGCAAGGAATAATATACAATTTTTTTTTTTTTAATCATTACTGTCATAATTATATCTAAGGCTATCTGTTAATCCATGGGGAAGTACTCATGTTAGCTTAATACATTACAAGGTTCCAAGGGTGGTGTACTAAGTGAGTATTGAACTCACTATAGTACTAATTGTCTTTAAGTCTGTCTATGGTGAAGCACCCTTAATATGAAGTAAACTTATCTTGGTACTCTACAACATTTCAAAGGCGAGGCACCAAGTGAGGATTGAACTCACCACCCAAAGCAAGGTGGGAATGCTACTAAAACACAGGGGATTACATGGAGGGAAAGAGAAAGAAAAGACTGAGACTAGATTGAGGAAAGGACAAAAGATGATGGGGATTCAAGAAGATAGAAAATGTTGTTTGATGTTGCACTTACATTTTTGAAGATTGTAGTTATCATGGAAGCAAGTAAGTGGAAGGGACTTCCACAGGTGAGAAGTGTGAGAAAAGAAAATATTGGAGTAGACTGGTAGCACAGTTAAATTCATATATTCAGGGCACCAGGGGGGAGAAAAGCTTTTCAGAGAAGTTGCGATGAAAATATTTGTAGAAAAGACAAACTACATCAGTGAGAAAAGTGACTGAAATCAAGATGTCAGGATTGATTGCATTACAGATCTTTCTTTGGATTTTGTCAAGAATCTTGAGAGGTACAGCAGGAGCACCAGACCAGATATGGCAACAGTATTCAATGCATGAACGAATGGTAGATTTATAAATGTACAAGACTGAGTCTGGCGAGAAAAATTTTCTGGCATGACACATTGATCCAACTTTCCTTGCAGTAGATGCAGCAATTGATTCAATATTGTCACTCCACTTGAAATTGGTGGTAAACCTGAGGCTAAGAAGGTACAGTGTGTTGCTCTCTAGGAGTCTAGAATCAGCCTTTCTGATGATAGACAGAAAGGGTTCTCAATGGTGGTTAAATGAAAACAGTTTGTTTGTTTGTGTTGTGTTTGTTGTTTGAAGCATTAAAATTTACAAGCCATTTCCTGCTGATTGGAGGTCCTTTTCAAGAGCAGCTGCCAGGTTTGCTATTGAGACAAATGTAAATGGTAGTTTCTTCTGTATATATACCGATTTTGGAACTGATGACATCGGTGAAGATCAGAAACAGGATAAAGCCTTGGGGTACACCTGTGTTTGTGTGAAATGATCTGGAAGTAAGCCCATTCAAAACAACATTCATTTCGCAATTTGATGGGAATTAATTGAATTAAATCAAACATTTGTCCTTATGACACCATATCCCTGAAGCTTGCATAGAAGGCCAGCATTCCAATATTTCTCTATATTATTAATTTTTTCTTTGCATTGTCCTTTAGAATGGAGGTATTCATGGCTCTCTCCAGATTTTTATTATCTATAAAGTGCCATGACTTCTTGGGAAAGGTAGTGGAGTGGTTTCTTGTTGCCTTCTCCATAGTTTGAATTCATAGTTTTTTCTTCTTAGATTGGTAGTCATCCAGATTTAGAGAGTCCTGTCTATCCTGCTATCTAATCCCTTAGCTGAGATGGATTGATGTGTTTCTTACGGCCATTTGTCCAAAAGTGAAGGCAACAGTCTAGGCTAGAATTTGAACTGAACTCAACGATTCTATTTTCCCTTTGAATTATAGTTACACTACCAGAATATCTACAAAGTATTGGTAATGAGATGTATGATAATTATACATTTCTGGATTTTATTTCAAAGGGTAAAGCATGAATTCTTGAACCAGTTTGGTGCAATGTTTTTATTCCTTCCTATTTCCTGAATTCTGTGAGGAACTTTGATGTTTTGAAACTTAACTAGAAGTAACCCCTTTAAAAATGGCCAGAATCCAATACTTCTGTCTACCATTATAACGTTTGAAACAAGCAAATAATATTAATAATAACTGTCCCTCCCTTTGTTAATTTTTTTTAGTTTGCACAACCATTACACCCTGCCAATACCTCATAAATAATGGAGTGTTCTGTTTTGATCACAAGGAAAGACATATCAGAAATGCTACTTGGTTTCAATGAAAAAAAAGAAGGAAGATAGTGTTTAACATCTGGTAATACTTCACAAATTCATTTGTGAGGTATTTCATTTTGATTATCTGATAAGATATATATCAAAGACACTATTTGGTTTCAGTCAGAAAATGAAAGAAAGAAGTGAAGATAAGCATTTAATGTCTGTTTCATTAAAATGGAAGACATTGTCAGTTTCAATTGTTTTCATATCTACCACTTTATTAAAATAACAACCAGCTTTATGATTGTTATTGCAATATTTTAAAGTTGTTAAGCTCAAATATTTAATGATGCTATAGGGGAATTTCTATGGATATTTTATTGTTGTAGAACTTACCATGAGCATATTCAATCTCTAGAATACTTTTTTGACATGTTAACGCATGTTGAAAGCCTCACAATATTTAGTATTGTTGAAGTAATTGCCAACATTTGCCAAATTCTACGTTTCATTCAATTTTGCAAACTGATTGATGAAATATAAAAACTTAAAGTAAAGATATGCAAGAGCAATATTGAACTTATTAAATATTTGTTATTTAAATAACTCATACTTTTTCCCCCCAAAATATTGAATGCTTATTGTACAAAGCTATGCACCCTAAAAACAATTATACTTTGCACACATTTACCTGTGTGCATTTCTCTCAGAATGGCTATTTTAGAGGGTGTGATGGACAGGATAATGGAAGTCAACAGAATTTTGTATATAGATTTTTTTACACTCATTAACACTCTGTATCTTCGTGGTTTTGTTGCCTTACTTGGAGGTCAAATATGTATATATAAAGGGTGTTTCATTAAGATGGATTATATATATATATATATATATATATATATATAAAAGGGTGTTTCATTAAGGCGGATTATATATATATATATATATATATATATATAAAAGGATGTTTCATTAAGACTGATTATATGTATATAAGTGTGTTTCATTAAGACTGATTATATGTATATAAGTGTATTTCATTAAGACGGATCAAAGTCAGCAATAAATAAATCAGTGTTATTGGTGAAAATTTATGAATTTCTCTATTGGATCATATTATCTAAGTCATGGCAATGATGTGTGAAAAATAATATCACCCAAATGTCCACCAAATCTAAAAGAAAAAGAAAAAAATCATTAAACGCTTACTTCATAAAATAATGATGAGCATTCATATTTATGATTGTTATTGCAATATTTTATTAAAGTTGTTAAGCTCAAATATTTACTGATGCCATAGGGGAATTTTTACAGATATTTTATTGTTGTAGAATTTACCATCAGTATATTCAATCTCTAGGATATTTTTGCAATATGTTAATGCCCGTTGAAATCCTTACAATATTTAGTATTGTTGAGGTTATCGCTAACATTTTTTGTCAAGATTTACAGACTCTACATTTCATTCAGTTTTGCAAACCAGTCTTTGAGAAAATAAAACTACTTCACAGTTTCAAAATTTCTTCAATTTAATTATAGTACTCCTTGAAAATTTCACCAGACAGAGATCAAGATGAGATGTTTCCTTTCAACATCCTAAGTAAATCAGGACTGTCTGGCCAACCAAGTGTGTGTGTGTGTGTATAATATATATATATATATATATATAATCTTCAAACATATATTGTTAAATATACCAGACAATGAATATCTATTATGTTTGATCATGAACCATTCTAAACTTCATAGAGTTGTTTTAATTTTTGGTGAAAATAAAGATAAAAATTGTCCAACATTCGGATATTTTTTTATTTTATTATGCTTTTCCCTGATCTAAGCTTTAGGCTCACATGAACCATCTTCAGAGTGGCTATATGGACATTTATTTGCACCCGAAATTAAAGCAACTATATGAAGTTTAAAACAGTTTATGATCAAACAATAGATATTTTTTTGTCTGTTATATTTAACAATATATGTTTGAATAAATCTATCTTAATACTATATATATATATATATATATATATATATATATATATATATATATATATATATTATGTGTGTGTTTTGAACATTATTATGACTTAGTGTACTTGAGTGTATAATAATGTTAATAAAATAGTTCATAGTCTTTAGATGTGTATATGAAATAGCTTTGGAATAAAGGTCTGTAAAAATGAAAATATTCTTTAATATGTAACAATGCTATTAATAATATAGTGGTATTATTGTCTTTAGTGTTGTATATAAAATGTTTTCATATTTAACTAATTTTTGGAATTTATTTCATTGTGTTATTGTAGTGTTCCTGTCATGTGTAGGTGTTAACTTATCACAGACATATGCATGCCTATAGTGGACCTTGCAGAGTAGAAAGGACAAAGGTAT